GATCTCTAAATTTCATCTCTTCCCCAAAAGACAGAAAAGAGAGAGGAGGAATAAAGGAAGGAGATCTGGGGTGGGAAGAAGCTGCTTTCAAAAGCTTTGCTGTAGGTTTATCACCCCTCCATACACACACAGGCTACCTAAAAGAGGGACACATATTTGGGAGAGGAATATCTTTCCTAAGAGACTACTTCACAACGGACGGCAAAGCCAGTAGCATCCTTATCCCCAGTTAAAACACAAATACAGACACACATTCCCCTTTGCCTTGGGAGGCAGCAATAGCCCTCAAGGGATGAACTTCCAGTGGGCAGAGGGAGAATTCTGGATCACGTACATCTCCTTTGCATCATGTCTGTCCCAGCTAATCACAAAGAACCAGAGCTGTGTGTTTCCTCTCGTGCATGGTATCTACAATAGTTGTAGAGAAAAGTTATAATGATGGCTTCCAGGAGCTGGAAAAGAGGAAAGGAGGAATTCGTGTTTAATTAGTAGAGTTTCAGTTTAGAAAGAAAAAAGAGTTCTGGAAATGGGTGGTGGAGATGGCAGCCCAACAATGCAAATGTGATCAATGCTACTGTATATATATAAAGTTTGCAGTAGTAAAAAGTATATATTATACATATATATACATATATATATAAAGTTTGCAGTAGCAAAAACATGTTATATATAATGTATATAAAATTTGCAGTAGTAAAGCATATATATTATACATAACATATATCAAGTTTGCAGTAGTAAAAATTTATGTTATGTGTAATTTAGCACAATTTAAAAATATGGTTGAGAGGGAACAATTAATAAGACTTTATTTTCAATATTATTTGGCTCTGTGTATTTGAGTATTATGAAATACTCACACGGCTAAGTAAGACTGAGGGGGAAAAAACTAAACATGAAAAAGTCAGGAAAAAAAAGATGAATTTGTCCAAGGAAGAAAGAAGAAGGAAATGAAGAGAAAGAAGATACAGAAGCATCCAGAAAGAACCAAAGGGAGCCTTGGAATATGGCAAGGCTTTAGAAGAACAGAGACATCTACTAACAGGGGGCTTTGAAGCTGTCTGGCTGAAGAGTGTGACATACTGCTAAGTAAAAGCACTTATTCACTAGCCAGTCTTCTGTGATAGAGCCTCTGTTTGCCAGTAAAGAAACTGAAGTGTTTAGAAGAATATCTCTTTTCCATCACTGCTTTCCCATTCCCTTCAAACCCCAGTGACAAGCCTTGTATGGGGTCATTTTCTGCGACTACAATGAAATAACTGAATCTGTATAGTTTATAAAGAAAAGAGGTTTTGAGCTGGGGAGATGGCTCAATGGGTAAAAGAATTTGCTTGCAAGCCTAATAGCCTGAGTAAAGCTCCCTGGAACCTACATGAAAACCAGACGCAGTAGCATGACCGTCTGTAATTCTAGTACGCCTATGGGAAGTGGAAATTAGAGACAAGAAACTCAAGCAGTGCAGAAAGGGGAGTACCAACACCTAAAGTTCGTCCCCTGACCTCCACATGTGCACTTTGGCACACATGCACCTAGACTCACACATGAACACATATCACACACACACACACACACACACACACACACTGAGAGAGAGAAAAAGACTGGGCCTGGGAAATTTTAAAGGCCACACCTCCAACAACCCACTTCCTCCAACAACGCTACACCTAATCCAACAAAACCACTCCTCCTAACCTTTATAATACTTTCTCAAATAGTTACAACTTCAGACTAAGCATGCAATTAGTATGAACCTATGGCAGCAATCTCATTTAAACTACCACACATGGTGTGATAGTTTTAATTATCAACTTAGCTGGATCCAGAATCACCTAGTAGATGAACCCCTGGAAATGCTTCTGCAGGATTTTTTGGATTAGGTAAATTGAGTGCAAAGACAGGCCCACCGTGGGTGGCACCATTCCCTAGGCTGGGATTCTGAATATAAAAAAGAGAAAGGAAGCTGAGCACAGATTATCTGTCACTCTCTACTTCTTAATGGTGGATGTGATATGACCAGCCTTCTTCAGGTCCTGTTGCCTTGACCCCTCCACTGTAATAGACTGAAACCTGAAACTGTTATCCAAAATAAACCTTCCTTAAGTTGCCTTTTTCAGGAAATATAACCAAAAGACATAGAAAAACAGGAAGGCAGACAATGCACAGGGCAGAATCTTATGACCTTCCAATAGGCTCTACCTCTTAGAGGTCCTTCCTCTATTTAATATCCACACTGGGGAACTAAACTTGTAACACATGAATCCTTGCAGAGCAAAACCAATGCAAGCCTTAAGTCACCTAGAATCCTGTTCTCAGAAAAGACATATTACTATTATCACACTCATGGCAGAAAAATGTCAGCAAATCAGGGAATTCCCAGAGTCTGGAGGACTCTAGTAGAGGGAATTACCTTGGAAACAAGAGAAAGAACCATTTCTTTGGAGTGGGGGGGTGCCTTATTGCTGAGGTCCAACAGTCTAAGGACAAAAACCTGCCCTGAGGAGCATCCCAGTATATAGGAAATTTCATAACTATTTTCTTCAGGGAAAGAGTTGTTTCCTGAACTTATTCTGAGAGTGTCTGACCTTACACAAACTTCCCACTGTGTACAGAGCACTCAAAGAACTGGGCTTCAACAATCCCCACCCACCCCTTATACCTACTTAAACTTCAAAGAGGGAGAATGGGGATAGGGATTGACTACAGGAGGCTTAACACCACTTCGGTGGGTAGGCAGGTTTCATAGTTATATCTTCCAGGCAGATCTTGCAATAGCAGAATGAATATTCACCCAGAAATAAGAGCCCTGTCCTTCTAACCCCATAAAGATTAAATCTGGTGGCACAAAGTGAACTTACATACAGGTATCAGAATCTCGAACCACCCAGGGGGAAAAACAGTAAAAAATGTTATCTATGCTATTATGATCCTAAGATTATGAAATTAGCAAGAAAGAATGGCAAAACATTGGGATAGTGAGGTTTTGTCCTTTTTTTCCCATGTGGGTAAAAGGGAAGGAGGAGGAGATATTTGTGCTGGTAGTTTTATGTCAACTTGACACAAGCTGAAGTTATCTGAGAGATGTGAATATCAATTAAGAAAATGTCTTCATGATATGGGACTGTAGGCAAGCCTGTAGGGCATTTTTAAAATTAGTTATTGATGTGGGAGGGTACAAGCTCATTGTGAATGGTGCCATCACTGGGCTGGTGGTTCTTTGTTCTATAAGAAAGCAGGATGAGCAAGCCATCGGTACAAGCCAGTAAGCAGCATTCCTCCTCCATTGCTGAGGTCCAACAGTCTAAGGACAAAAACCTGCCCTGAGGAGTATCCCAGTATATAGGAAGTTTCATAACTATTTTCTTCAGGGAAAGAGTTGTTTCCTGAACTTTACCCTCCTAGATACCATTACAGAAAAGATTTCAAATCCTTAAATCATTTTAAAGTAAATGTAATACATCCATTAAGTGTATTTATAAAAAAATTCAAAAAAAAAGTTAAAAATAAAACTAAAACTGTTCTACATTTTCATAAATTTCTTTAATGTCTGCTTTAATAGAAAACAGGTGGAGTCTCACAACTGCTTTCCCAGTGAGTCTGGGGGCACTGCATTCCATGTCATCACTGGAACCTATGCATTGGTGGGAACGTGAGCGTGAGAAGAGCCAGTGACACCTTGGGAATTTATAGAAATAATCTTGACCCTGGTGGAAGCAGTCTTGGGTACCCTCTCGAGACTAGAGATGCCTGGACCACACTTTGAGGGTCACACTTTGAGGCCCACACTTCGAGTACCATGACCTAGAGAGCTATTAGTGAGCAAAAGGGATGAGAAGTGAGGGGGACACTCACATCCCCAGCTCACCATCCATGTCACTCTCTGCCCAGAGCCCTCCCCCTCTTTTCAAACAGGGTTTCTCTGTGTAGCCCTGGCTATCCTTGAACTCACTCTGTAGACCAGGCTGGCCTCAAAGTCACAGAGATTTGCCTCCCTCTGCCTCCGAAGTGCTGGGATTAAAGGTTGAGCCACCACTGTCATACTCTTAAGAGACAAATTAAACTCGAGCTAACTGGGGAGGAAGGAGTCGGTTAATTCTCTCTAGAACACACAATACTTTTGTTTAGTTGTCTGTTTGTTTTAGGGTGTTTTTGATAACGTGGGGGAGGATGTCTTGTTTTTGAGAGCTGGTCTCTGTGGCCTCAGCTGGCCTGGACCTATGTAGCTGAGAAAGACCTTGAATTCCTGATCCTCCTGCCTCCATTTCCCACCTAGTAGGATTGTAAGAGTGATACTACATTCTAAATCAGGATTTTCCTATGCTAAAACTACACAGTGTCTAGTCAAGCTTTTCAGAATTCAGGAAACAGGGTCAGTGACCCAGTAGAAACTAGGAGAAAGAGTCCCTGGGCTAGGGTCAGCTCCTCACCCTCATGACTCGAGGTTTTCTACATCCATAAACTTTAGCTGCACCAATCCCTAGATCTCGCAGTCTGACCTGCAGTGGCATCAATTACTATCAAGAACCTAGTGCCTCCCTACCCAAGTCAGTGCAGTCCGGTTTGCCATTCCTCAGGACTGGCTCACAGGAATGCACTCCTAGTAAAGACCCCTGGAAACTGCAGTACCCACTCTTCCCCAGCCGGCATCGGCACCTAATCAAGCTGAATACACCCCATCTCTGTTTTCTGTCGGGTCTGCCCGCCCAGGTGTGACTCTGCAGAGACTCAGACCAAGCCGAAACTCAGAAACAGATTTAAAAGCAAAAAAAGCCTTAGCACCTACCACTGCAGAGCCCACACTTTAACCCCGCATCTTCAGAAAGAGCTCAAGAAGGCATGGAGGGTGTGGGGGGCGGTTGACCACAGTTCTAATAATTCCCTTCCTCACCAGAGGTGAGGATGAGGCCAGCTGCCTTCAAGGAGTAGTTCACACTCCACCAGGCCTCGCCAGGTGCAAATCTGGCTAACCCAGGCTGGGACAGGAGTTGCCACTGCAATGGTACCTGGGCTGGAAGAGAGGAGAGCTCCCCAGGGCTCGGCGCAGCTCGTTCTTGAGGCTCCAGAATTCTCCGTCCAGGTAGCGGTGCAGGGATGAGTCCCCAAGCCCCAGGTAGGGAGCCCGCTCCATCTGTGTGTTTGAAGCTGCAGGCTGTTCTTTACACACCTCAGAACTCCAGGCTTATGGGCCCTCCTACTTATCATTCCACCAGACTGGTTTCCTCCCAGTTCACTGGCTTGTCTCCTCCTCCCTCTTCACCCGTCACACGCCCTCCCTCCTAGGCTTGAGGCAAAGGGCTGTCCAGAGCATTTGAGCTCCACCAAAGTTCTCCCATACTTACTAAGAACCACCCATTAACTCTAACCCCTTAGCCCACCAGTAAGCTGTCCCTCTAGATTTATAGGTTTTTTAGACGGAGTTTATGTCCCACCTGGTTCCGCAGCTGATCATCCCAAATAAACACACAGAGTCTTACATTAATTATAAACTGCCTGGTCAATGGGTTAGGCTTCTTATTGGCGCTCTCTCTCTCTCTCTCTCTCTCTCTCTCTCTCTCTCTCTCTCTCTCTCTCTCTCTCTCACCCCCCTCTCTCAATTCTTAATTATTAACCCATTTCTATTAATCAGTATATTTCCATGTAGCTTTTGGTTTACCAGAGAATGCCTGGACCTGTTACTCCTTCAGAGGATACATGGCTGCTCACTCCTCTCTGCCTTTCCTCTTTCCCAGCATTCTCCTAGTCTAGTAGCCCCATCTATATTTCTTGCCTGGCTACTGGCCAATCAGTGTTTTATTCATTAACCAATAAGAGAAACATATATTCACAGCACACAGAAGGACATTCCTATCATCTTCTCTTTTCTGTCTAAATAAAAAGGAAGGTTTTAACTTTAACATAGTAAAATTATATATAACAAAAGTTATCAAGCAAGAATTACAGATACAATATTTAGTTCATAAACATTTAGCAAAATCTAAAGAAAATACTCTATAGTCTATCCTATCTTTGTGAGTCTAAAGTTTTATATGTAACTTACCTTTTATCATAACTAAGGACAACCATAACTATCTGTCTTCAACTCACAGCATACAGAAGGATATCCCCATCAGTGGGTCACTAGAGGTCAGTATCAGGTCCTTAAAGGGATGCTGGTATTATTTCTCTGGGCCACAGATGGATGGATACTCAGCACTAAGCCATTTCATCCACTCAGTAGAACCACCGCCAGCCTCTTTGCCTGACTCCCAAGGCCTGAAGTGGTCTGGTCTCTCTCAGATCCCACCACCACAAAATGGGCATCACATACATTCAATTTGGAGAAGGTACAAACCTACAAGATAACAAGCAGTACAAGGTAGCTGGGAACTATAGACATAAAATAAAGAATCTTCCACCTTCACTTTCTGCCCAGACCCCCCTCTACAACTCACCTACCAGGAGTCTCTCTCTCCATTATTGCTGTGGTCACATATAAGGGAATGTTAGCTTTTCCCTTCCTTCCGAAGGCTACTTTGTGCTGTCTTTAGGGCAGGGGATGCCACCCCAAGGAGTTTCCTTTGACTCACAGGTTACCACAGGCAGCACAAATATAATTATTTATAGTCCCAGAATTCAGAAGTTCAAACTGGATTTCCCAGGGATAAAATCAAGGTGTTGGTAGGGCTAGGTTCCCTTTGGAGGCTACTAGGTAAATATTTGTTCCCATAGCTTTTCTAGCTTTGGGGGGCTGCTTATATTCTTGCCTCTCACCTCCTTTCTCTGTCCTCAAAGACCGCCATTGTGACCTCTGCTCCCAGCACTCCATTTTCTTTTCTTCTTTTGACTAGCCTTTTTGACTCCCTCTTACATGGACTCATTTACACCGAGTCCACCTGTAATTACAGAAAAGCCTTCCTATCTCAACATCCTTAAGTCACATCAGCAATGTTACCATGCCAAAGAAGACCACGATCTTAGGTTCAGAGACAAGGACATAAACATTATTGGTGGGCCATTTGTTTGTCTATCATCTGTGTAACTTCAAGTAGCGATACCCAGCTGATGGCAAAGAGTAACATCCCTAATCTCATATAATAGGAATCCAGGAGGTGGGAGCGTCAGAAGACAAAGTGGTTGGCTCAGGGTTGTTCTTTCTGCTCTACTCATCTAGCAATCATGTCTCTGTATGTTCTTTTCATTCACACTTGCCTCTTCCAGTCCATAGTATGAATGATGCCAAGTAGCACTTGTGCCAAACTGAGGAAGCATCTTCTAGTTTTTATGGCAAGCGATACCACATGCCTCTGCATAGTGTGGTCACCATTAGCACCCAAATCTTAGGGTTTTTAAAGACAAAAGTTTATTTCTTACTCGTGCTATCTGGGAATTCTACTCCTGTCCTCTCACTTCGGGTCCCAGATGATAGAACCATCACCATCATGTTGCCACACAAGCTTTTACAGCTGGAAAGGACACAGGGAATGTCCAGATTTACTCGTCAGGCAGAGCATTTCACTGCTGACTTTGGGAAAGTAACATCCTAGGCACAACCAGAAGGCCGACACCCAAATCAATCTGTGACAGTGCTAGTGCTACAAAATCTACCTCTCCTGCTACTCTTGGCCTTTCACAGGTAAAGCGCACTCCCCTCTGTGAAAAGGAGGCAACAAGGTCCCACACTGTCACAGCATCAAGTCCAAAGTTCCTTCAGGAGGCACAGTGAAAGACAAGGGACTATGCTATCTTCCATTGCATGCAGCTCAAGTAGAGGTGGGGGAATCTTCTGTTCTTACAAGTTATGCAAGGTTTTTAGAAAATTGTGCATTACATATCTATGGTAGATAATGGAAGAATGTTCTTGGTGAAATTAAACATGTAGACATACACACACACACACACACACACACACACACACATATAATATGCCCATTTGTTAAGAGTAAGTTTTTTCCCTGCCGCCAGTCTGGTCCCATGGCAGCGCCAGCCCCAATTAACACAAAGAGACTCTGTATTTGATATTAATGCTGTTGGCCAGTTACTTGTTTCTTATCGGCTAACTCTGTCTTAAGTATTAACCCATTTCTTTTAATGTAAGTATTTCTACATGGTCTCATCTTACCGGAGAGGGGCTGGCGTTGTACTCTCCCCGGTCTCTCCATGTTGGCCAACAGTGCTTTATTCATTAATCAGTATGAGAAACATATTTACAGAATGACATCTCCCATCACCCATTATTATGCCCATATATTTATTCACATATATGGTACTGGAAGGAAGTTCATTCTAAGAAGTGATAGATGAGGAGGACAGAGAGATGACTCAGAAGTTCAGAGCACTTATTGCTCTTTCAGAGGACCCAGATTTAGTACCCAGCACCCACATGGTAGCTCACAACCATCTGTAGTTCTAGTTCCAGGGAATTCAATGCTTTTTCCTGATCTCCATAGGCACCAGGTGCACATGTGGTGGATACATAGATGCAGGCAAAATACTACACACATAAAGCAAATATTTTAAATTTTTAAAGAAATGGTGGGAGTTAGACAAAACTGTCATTGGTTTACAGCATGCCTAATGAACACACAACTCCAGGAGACACCAAATGCACATTGTATATTGGCTGCTGTTGCTATTTTGACAGCCATTTATTAGTAAGAAGTGGGCTTAGAAAATACATAGTTGGTCAGGCATGGTGACACACACCAATAATCCTATCATTTGGGAGATGAAGGCAGAAGGTCATAAATTCAAGGTAAGCAGAGGCTACATGAGACCCTCTCTCAACAAACAAACAAAGCAAAAGAAAAACACAATCATTTTTGCAAGTGTAGGAAAAGGGATAAAGAGCTTTGAAACTTTAGGGATAGAGGACGTAACTGCTTTATAACTTCTTTTCTACTAGTAAAAGATAAACCTGCATAGTATAGAGGTTTGGGGGGGCGGGGAGAACAGGGGCTGATTTTAGAACAAAGGTATATAAGACTCAAGACCACCAAACTTTCCACTGTGATGAAGACAGAATCAAAAGTTCAGCTTGAACGCTTGTGACAAACAGACTTCACTCTGACAAACAGGCCCCGCCTCACTCCCAGATCACACTGCTCCAAATAATACCCATATGAAGCTTTGCAGGCTTCTGTATCAGAGCACAAACATGAATTCACTTCTGTACTAACTGACAAAGGACACTAAATGCCACCCATAATCTGGACTATCCTGGAGGATACTAGAAGAATCCTTTCACATGCCACAACTACTTCCAAGGGTCAGAGAAACATAATCCTCTTCCGTGCCCAGACCAGTGAGAATCAAAAGTTCCCCAGCATCTCCAAGGTACTTCCTGCGAATCTTTTAATATTAACAAGGAGAAGCTGTGAAATAAATGACTCAGGAAAAATTGCCTTTGAGTCATTTTTGCTAAATCAAATAGGTCCAATGGCCACTGTTTTAGTTTCCTGCTACAGAAATACAATAGACTGATAGGTTAATAACAGAAACTTATTTTTTCACATGGAGTCTATCAGTCTGAAGCTGAAATGTCTGTATCAGTACCTTGTCTCTGTGATCTTTAGGGAGGAATCCTTCCTTACCTCTTCATAGACTCCAGTGGCTTCTAGCAATTTCTAGCATTCCTTGGTTTGTAACTGCTTCCATCGGACCATTCTAATAACTGTCTTACTCATCATGTGAGCCTCCTTCCCTTGTGTTTATTTTCAAACTTCCCTCTTTGCACAATGACACCAGTTACTGGGTTAAAAGCTCAGCCTAATCCAATATGTATGACCTCTTCTCAACTTGATTACACCTGCAAAAATCCCTATTTCCAAAGAAGAAGAACATATTTTTTTAATTAAAATTAAATAAATAAATATTTTTGGTGTGTTGGGAATACTATTCAAACTATTACACACTCACCCCCAAATTAATCTTGGGTTTAGATAATTGATTTCTGCATTAACTATGTACCAAAGAACCTAGGATTTTTTTTAAAGCTCAGTGGAGGAGCTCAGTGGCACTCCTCCCATGTTCTAAAGATTGAACATAGACACTGAAACTTTCAGAAACCTCCTCTTCACCCTAGGTGAGTGGTCCCATACTGGTGCACAGTGGATTGCTGAGAGAG